TAAAATAAATAAACTAAACACTAAGCTCCAGCGGATTTAAAAAGGATGTGGTTACTATCGAGGGTGTTCATACCCCCATAACGCTCAAGGGTTTTCAATTGGGTCTGGTAGAACCCCTCTCTAGCTTCCATGGCCTTTTCCCTATCTGCTTGACTTATTTCAGGTTTAAATTCAAGAGCTTCCACTATAATAACAGAAAGGTGCGTACTAAGTGAAGAGTTATATAAGGCTACTGAACTAAAATCTAAATCATGATCAATATCTAAAAAGTGATTTACTAACTTACAACTTCTGATACCTTTCTTAATGTGGCTCTTATGATTAGAAAATCTCTTAGGGAGATTAGAAGTAGTATATCCTACATACGACTGTTTACAAGTTCTACACTCCATTAAATAAATAAGGTTATTACTCTGACAAGTTATATTTTTAGTAATAGGGAAAACTTGTTTAGAATGGTGACTACTAAATTTGGAACAAGGGGACAGGAAACTTTGCTTACAAACATAGCATTTTCCACAGGCATGGCACCCTGCGTTGTCAGCCTCCCGAACAGCCGGCAATATTGCAGCGTCTGGTTCAAGAAATTGACTGGCAGTGGCTTCTCCATCTCTATCACTGCTTACAGTTCCACTAGCACGATACTTATTGTGTACAAGCATGCCACCGATAGTTTGATTCTTTCGGTGACTTACAAATACACTGTCAGCACGTACTAGCTTCTTCAAGGCTGGATCGAGACTAAGAAGGTGCTTATACTTGTGAATAATGCTCCCCATGTTGGGAAGTGCTGGATTCTGATCCATCACCATGGGTATTAGACAAGTAGTCGTCTCATCCTTATTTTTAGGGGCATACAAGTTTTTCCTATTGGTTATATCACTAAATTTGTTGAAAGCATCGTCTACAATACTAGAATGGTAACCACGGGCTACAAGGTAACCAGTATATACAGGGTGGCCCATAAGTGACTACCCACACGCAACCTCTTAATAACTCACGTAATTCGTCTCCAAATTGCACCAAAATTTCAGAGATTATAGATATGGGTCAAACTTAGATTTCCTAAAAGTTTCGTAAGCCACGCCCAATTACAGTGGGCGTGGCGTGACACTCCCTCTTTTTCACTATTGTCTTCATAAAATGAGAACGCTTTAAGCTAAGAACTCAAAATTTTTTACACACATCTGGCTTGATAATTGAAAACTTTTCCAAAAGTTTCAAGTTCATTGGTTAAAATGGGGGGAATGCAACGTCAATTAATGTCAGTATTCCATAAAAACCCCAAACTGACATTGACATTAATTGACATTAATTGACATTAATTGACATTAATTGACATTAATTGACATTAATTGACATTAATTGACATTAATTGACATTAATTGACATTAATTGACATTAATTGACATTAATTGACATTAATATGTCTTGAAATTTGAGATTATCATTATTCGATAAATATTCAAGATATTCACGTCTATGTAAGTTAGACCGGTTCAAAAAAACAAAATGTCCTTGAATAATTATGAGTATGTTCTTATCTGTTGATCCTTAGGTTTAAAGACCACCAAAAAAAAATTTCAGCTTCCAAGTCTTCCATCTTCGGTCCCCACCGGCCACGCCCATATTTTATTGGTTTCTTATACAGGTAAAATATCTAGAATCGGCTTTTTTAGTATGAAGGAGTAATGTTAGCTGTTTAAGATTCGTTATTCAAATATAAATGTCATGAAGGCATTTTGTTTAATGTGGGTTTTAAGTTCTGATGATGTTGAGAACCACGCCCTTGGATGGCCACGCCCATTTAAGAAAATTAAATTTCGGAAAACCGTATTATTTTAGTTTTATTGTTTAATGATCTTAATTTTTTTCACATTTCACATTTCCATATGTGATAGTAGTGAATAAATTGATGATATAAACTTTCTAAAGTGCTAAAAATATGGTAGAACTACATAATCTCTGGTCGAAAAATATCGTGTCAATTAATGTCAGTATTCCAAAATTTTGCAAAACTGACATTGACATTAATTGACATTAATTGACATTAATTGACATTAATTGACATTAATTGACATTAATTGACGTTGCATCACCCCCGTTAAAATATGGCTGAGTTATGACCATTTTAAAATCCATCGGATATGTGATCCGAGCACTCAGTCAATGATATTTGCACTCAATTAGTGATCTCGTCACCCAATCTGATCAAGAGTAAGGCGTTAGCGTGTATTAATGAGGTTCATTAGGCTTTGATTGGATACCGATGATGACTTTGCTAGAAAGGAAAACACAAATTTTTAGGATAAATCAATAAATGAAATCAGCTAATAAAAATTCCCACACAAAAGCCAGCTGCAATCACCTTGAGGCACCGCTTCGTCACACTCCGACAAGCGTTCGTAGCAAACGCTGGGTCCATATTATGGATGATGTCGATCAGATGGTGCTTTAGCTGCGTGATGTTTGCAATAGGATATCTCTTATAGAGTTGGTCCTTCACCCACCCCCACAGGAAGAAGTCACACGGTGTAAGGTCAGGACTTCTAGCCGGCCAGTGAGTTCCAAGATGTTGTCCGATGGTTCTGTGGGCTGTATAGGCCGGCCCATAAGCAGGCTGCAACCAATCAAGCGGTGCATGTGAGCCAAACAGGTAAACAGGCCATTAACCAAGTGACGAGATCACTGACTGAGTGCTCGGATCACATATCCGATGGATTTTAAAATGGTCATAACTCAGCCATATTTTAACCAATGAACTTGAAACTTTTGGAAAAGTTTTCAATTATCAAGCCAAATGTGTGTAAAAAATTTTGAGTTCTTAGCTTAAAGCGTCCTCATTTTATGAAGACAATAGTGAAAAAGAGGGAGTGTCACGCCACGCCCACTGTAATTGGGCGTGGCTTACGAAACTTTCAGGAAATCTAAGTTTGACCCATATCTATAATCTCTGAAATTTTGGTGCAATTTGGAGACGAATTACGTGAGTTATTAAGAGGTTGCGTGTGGGTAGTCACTTATGGGCCACCCTGTACCTCCCTTTGCTCTAAGAAATTAGTGTCTTCACTATTGTTCTGCCTCACTCGCCTCGCCACACCATAGGGTATGTTTTTGAGAACATGGCTCCTATGACATGAGGTGGGGATGAGATAGCAGTGGGTGTCACTGGGCTTAGAGTAAAGTTTGGTATGAATAACATCGCCAACAGCATAGACATAGGTGTCTAAAAACTCAACACCATCCTTAGAGTAGTCGTAAGTAAACACAAGGTCCGGATGGATACTATTGAGCCATTCCATAAATTGTAGAAGCTCCTCAACAGTACCAGGCCAGGCCATGTATATATCGTCACGCAACCTACCCCAGAATGCTGGTCTGTGTGGCGGGCCATGTTCTAAATCTCTTTCATTAACTAAAATATCGATCTTATCCATTGCACAATCTGCATACTCACATGAGTTCTTAGGACCCATCGCCGCTCCACGCTCCTGACGGTATGTTATACCGTTGAACGAAGCTATGTTGAAATCAAGAGTGATTTCTAGAGCACTAATAATGCATTCTGTACTGAACAATTGATCATAACTACTTCTTTCATTCAGGTGCTTGGTGCATTGTTGGATCCCCATATCCCTGGGGATATTGGTGAACATGTTGGATATATCTATGGCAACATGTATCACCTCCTTACCCAACAATATGGTGGACTCATTCAAGCTATCAATCTTCCTCAAAAAATGAGGGGTGTCAATAATTCTATAATCTAAAATAGCCTTCTTCAATTCGTATGCAGTCAGAGCAGATAGGTTCTCAATGTACGAGCCACATCCAGTAGTAATCATCCTCCCAGGGTACAAAGGTGGCTTGTGGGCCTTGGGATTCAGGTACATATTACCAGGCTGGTTGAGCTCCGTACACGGAATAACCCACTCCCTGACCTTCTTAGACATACCTAATTCTTCTTTATACTTGACTGTCCAACATGAAATTTTATCAATTAATTCTGAAACTAAATCATCTACATTATTTACAATACTATATACAGATCTATCATTCAAATGTACACCTATTCGTTGAATATATTCTTCCTCTCCAAGAAGAAAGAATCCTACCCCTTTGTCAAAAGGTCTAATAACCACATCCTTCCATCCTTTCACTTCTTTGAGAGCTGATCTGATAGGTGCAGCGATGTTGTCTGGTGAAACATACTTCTGAGTTGGCCGGTGGAGATCAACTTCTGCTCTGCAGCATTTAATGAATGCCTCGAGTGCATATATATCTTCTAAAAAAGGTTATAAAGTTGATGAAAATAAGCAATCAATTCAAAAGTTCAAGCCTATTTAGCCTGCCACGAGACGAGAACAATATTAGTGGAGAATGACAAGGTTCAGGGTGGACCCCCACACATTCCCACGAGGGGGGGGGGGGTGGTTACGGGGGTGGACCCCCACACACTCCCACGAGGGGGGAGGTGGTTACGGGGGTGGACCCCCACACATTCCCACGAGGGGGGGGGGTGGTTACGAGGGTGGACCCCCACTCATTCCCACGAGGGGGGGGGGGGTTGGTTACGGGGGTGGACCCCCACACATTCCCACGAGGGGGGTGGTTACGGGGGTGGACCCCCACACACTCCCACGAGGGGGGAGGAGGTGGTTACGGGGGTGGAACCCCACACACTCCCACGAGGGAGGGGGGGGGGGAGGTGGTTACGGGGGTGGATCCCCACACACTTCCGCGAAATCACAGCCTTCCTCCGAAAAGGCTGTTATCCAATTTACAGGGGCTGCCACAGTTGGGAAACTCTATCGGTTTCTCGTTAAGAAAAGTCTGAACAGTTCTCTGACTGGAGTCTGGACACTCCATGGCAACCATAAACAAGCTTAATTGGATGTAATTTTAAAATGAGGTGGTATGATAAGGGGGAGGGGGGGTCATGAGATTGAGTACCCCCCCCCCTATGTTAACATGGTCATGGTAACATAACTTGTTTTCAGGAGATCCCAGTATGATGGAATACATCCTGTTCCCTCTGGATCTTTACAACGACAGTGCCAACTATGCACTCTCTGTCTTCAAGAAGCAGTTCCTTTATGACGAAATCGAGGCTGAGGTTTACTTTTTATTCACTTCACTCTCTTCATCGTTTTTCAGTTATCTCCAAAAAACTGTTTCTCTTGACATCCTACCTTATCCTATAACCTATTGTCACAGGGATAGCAATCTTTTAAAAACCCATTAATAAAAATATGATTTATAACAGAAGAAGCGTAGAGTTATACGCGAATCAAACTGAACATAATATAATACGATTACATGAGTTGTTGCACTCCAAAAATTAAGTAATCTCATTATACGCAGTTTGATTAGCGTATATAATCAAACTCGCTCGTTTGATTATATAGCTAAAAGTTAACTAATATTAATCTATTTTCAGGTGAACTTGTGTTTTGATCAGTTCGTGTATAACCTGTCTGATAACATTTTCAACTACTTCCGACAAAAGGCCTGTATTCTTTATCTTGACAAGAAGTTCAAGGACGATGCTGCCAATCTGAAGATAAGGTAAATATTGGAATAATGTGGGCCCACTTGACAGCGCCCACGTGACAGCGCGGGGGGGGGGGGGGGGGTAATGACTACTTTTGGGGACTTGGGGAATTACGTCAACGATTTTACCCCGAGTCCCCATGATTTTTAGTCCCCATTAGTCCCCAAAAGTCTCCATTAGTCCCCATTTAGATGATTTTTAGTCCCCATTAGTCCCCAAAAGTCTCCATTAGTCCCCATTTAGATTTATCCTACTCTTATCTTGGACAAAACATCTCGATCGTATCGTTATTAAACTAACTTGAAACCATAAATAACTGTCAAAAATTCTGGGGACTTATGGGGACAAATGGTGAATTACGTCAACGAGTTGACCTCTAGTCCCCACGATTTTTAGTCCCCATTAGTGCCCAAAAGTCTCCATTGGTAGTCATTACCCCCCCCCCCCCCCCCCCCCCCCGACAGCGCCCACGTGGTGAGTCACGTGGTGAGTCACGTGGGCGCTGACACGTGATTCTATCCGTTGACGTCATGAGTCCCCATCTAGATCTGCTATCTGCACATAGCGAATGTGTTATTTCCTCAAACTCCGCGGTAAATTGGGGTTTTACTGTAACACGTTTCTACTCTCTTGTACAATTAACATTGTTAACTATATAACTCATCGTGATTGTTTCTTTTCCCTCTCTGTAGTTCAGAGTCTGTAACCCTAGTAACCGCCTCCCCTCCCTCATTACTCTGTAACCCTAGTAACCGCCTCCCCTCCCTCATTACTCTGTAACCCTAGTAACCGCCTCCCTCCCTCATTACTCTGTAACCCTAGTAACTCCCCCTCCCTCATTACTCTGTAACCCTAGTAACCGCCTCCCTCATTACTCTGTAACCCTAGTAACCGCCTCCCCTCCCTCATTACTCTGTAACCCTAGTAACCGCCTCCCCTCCCTCATTACTCTGTAACCCTAGTAACCGCCTCCCCTCCCTCATTACTCTGTAACCCTAGTAACTCCTCCCACCCTCATTACTCTGTAACCCTAGAAACCACCTCCCTCCATCATTACTCTGTAACCCTAGTAACTCCTCCCTCCCTCATTACTCTGTAACCCTAGTAACCGCCTCCCTCCATCATTACTCTGTAACCCTAGAAACCACCTCCCTCCATCATTACCTACTCTGTAACCCTAGTAACTCCTCCCTCCCTCATTACTCTGTAACCCTAGTAACTCCTCCCTCCCTCATTACTCTGTAACCCTAGAAACCACCTCCCTCCATCATTACTATGTAACCCTAGTAACTCCTCCCTCCCTCATTACTCTGTAACCCTAGTAACTCCTCCCTCCCTTATTACTCTGTAACCCTAGTAACTCCTCCCTCCCTCATTACTCTGTAACCCTAGAAACCACCTCCCTCCATCATTACTCTGTAACCCTAGTAACCGCCTCCCCTCCCTCATTACTCTGTAACCCTAGTAACTCCTCCCTCCCTCATTACTCTGTAACCCTAGTAACCGCCTCCCCTCCCTCATTACTCTGTAACCCAAGTAACCGCCTCCCCTCCCTCATTACTCTGTAACCCTAGTAACCGCCTCCCCTCCCTCATTACTCTGTAACCCTAGTAACCGCCTCCCCTCCCTCATTACTCTGTAACCCTAGTAACTCCTTTCCTCCCTCATTACTCTGTAACCCTAGTAACCGCCTCCCCTCCCTCATTACTCTGTAACCCTAGTAACCGCCTCCCCTCCCTCATTACTCTGTAACCCTAGTAACTCCTCCCTCATTACTCTGTAACCCTAGTAACCGCCTCCCCTCCCTCATTACTCTGTAACCCTAGTAACCGCCTCCCCTCCCTCATTACTCTGTAACCCTAGTAACCGCCTCCCCTCCCTCATTACTCTGTAACCCTAGTAACCGCCTCCCCTCCCTCATTACTCTGTAACCCTAGTAACTCCTCCCTCCCTCATTACTCTGTAACCCTAGTAACCGCCTCCCCTCCCTCATTACTCTGTAACCCTAGTAACCGCCTCCCCTCCCTCATTACTCTGTAACCCTAGTAACCGCCTCCCCTCCCTCATTACTCTGTAGCCCTAGTAACCGCCTCCCTCCCTCATTACTCTGTAACCCTAGAAACCACCTCCCTCCCTCATTACTCTGTAACCCTAGTAACCGCCTCCCCTCCCTCATTACTCTGTAACCCTAGTAACTCCTCCCTCATTACTCTGTAACCCTAGTAACTCCTCCCTCCCTAGGATCCCCAACTGTCAGAGCAACAGATACGAGACAATACTCCCCTCCCTCATTACTCTGTAACCCTAGTAACTCCTCCCTCCCTAGGATCCCCAACTGTCAGAGCAACAGATACGAGACAATACTCCCCTCCCTCATTACTCTGTAACCCTGGTAACTCCTCCCTCCCTAGGATCCCCAACTGTCAGAGCAACAGATACGAGACAATACTCCCCTCCCTCATTACTCTGTAACCCTAGTAACTCCTCCCACCCTAGGATCCCCAACTGTCAGAGCAACAGATACGAGACAATACTTCCCTCCCTCATTACTCTGTAACCCTAGTAACTCCTCCCTCCCTAAGATCCCCAACTGTCAGAGCAACAGATACGAGACAATACTCCCCTCCCTCATTACTCTGTAACCCTAGTAACTCCTCCCACCCTAGGATCCCCAACTGTCAGAGCAACAGATACGAGACAATACTCCCCTCCCTCATTACTCTGTAACCCTAGTAACCGCCTCCCCTCCCTCATTACTCTGTAACCCTAGTAACCGCCTCCCCTCCCTCATAACTCTGTAACCCTAGTAACCGCCTCCCCTCCCTCATTACTCTGTAACCCTAGTAACTCCCCTCCCTCATTACTCTGTAACCCTAGTAACCGCCTCCCCTCCCTCATTACTCTGTAACCCTAGTAACTCCCCTCCCTCATTACTCTGTAACCCTAGTAACCGCCTCCCTCATTACTCTGTAACCCTAGTAACCCCTCCCTCATTACTCTGTAACCCTAGTAACCGCCTCCCTCATTACTCTGTAACCCTAGTAACCCCTCCCTCATTACTCTGTAACCCTAGTAACCGCCTCCCTCATTACTCTGTAACCCTAGTAACTCCTCCCTCATTACTCTGTAACCCTAGTAACCGCCTTCCTCATTACTCTGTAACCCTAGTAACTCCTCCCTCATTACTCTGTAACCCTAGTAACCGCCTCCCTCATTACTCTGTAACCATAGTAACCGCCTCCCTCATTACTCTGTAACCCTAGTAACCCCTCCCTCATTACTCTGTAACCCTAGTAACCGCCTCCCTCATTACTCTGTAACCCTAGTAACCCCTCCCTCATTACTCTGTAACCCTAGTAACCGCCTCCCTCATTACTCTGTAACCCTAGTAACCGCCTCCCCTCCCTCGTTACTCTGTAACCCTAGTAACCCCTCCCTCATTACTCTGTAACCCTAGTAACTCCTCCCTCATTACTCTGTAACCCTAGTAACCCCTCCCTCATTACTCTGTAACCCTAGTAACCGCCTCCCTCATTACTCGGTAACCCTAGTAACCCCTCCCTCATTACTCTGTAACCCTAGTAACTCCTCCCTCCCTAGGATCCCCAATTGTCAGAGCAACAGATACGAGACAATACTCCAGCAGAGACACGTACAGCTCCTGGGAAGAAGCGTGGACTTGAACCGTCTGATACGACAGAGGCTGGCCATTGCCATGCACAAGAGCATAGAGGTGGCCATTACCAAGTGAGTTATCCTGACCAAGTGTGACCAAGTGTGACCGAGTGTGACCAATTGTGTGATAAATCTGGTCTGAACGAGTGTTAGATTATTCACTGAGGGTGAAAACTTAATATTCCAAAAACTTATATTCTTCCACGTGTGGATGGTTAAAAAGCAGACATTTTTCGTTACTAAATAATTCATCCTTATTATGAATAGTTATGGACTTTTTAATTTTCCCTAGATTTGAAACGAAAGATTTGACGGGTATAATTGAGTTACAGTCGCTCATTGGAATAGCAAAACTAACATATCAGGTTTATATTATCTCAAAATCATTTCTTATTATCTCCTGTCGTATTCACCTGAACAGATGTTAATTCATTGTGAATATCTTGCGCTGATTTTAACCTTAAAACCTGTTTATTACTTACAATTCCCTTCCCAGATGCTATGTGAATACGTTACTCTTGATTCATTTGACGATATATTCCGACAAGCTAATGACAGTGTGAAGTCCCCCTGCGGTAAGATAACCATGCACATCTACGATGAGCTCAACAACGATTTCCTACCTAACTTCTGCTACAATTCTAGTACCAACAGGTAAGGTGACAATTTAACGGTATTTACGGAGGGTTGTTTTTATTAGTTATTTGGTATAGCACCATTATTATTTGGTCATGAACCTTAATATTAAATAAATATTAATTAGTTGAAACTAAGATGATCGATAAACTAAAGTAATCGAGAACATTTACACGTGCTCTTTTTAAAAAGTTTTTATAGTTTTTATATAGTTTTACTGCAGAACCCTCTGTGTTTTGCTCCCTCTTTATAACAGTTCCTGTTACTAGGTTACTAACAGTCCCTGTTACTAGGTTACTAACAGTTCATGTTACTGGGTTACTAATAGTTCCTGTTACTAGGTTACTAACAGTTCATGTTACTAGGTTACTAATAGTTCCTGTTACTAGGTTACTAACAGTTCATGTTACTAGGTTACTAACAGTTCCTGTTACTAGGTTACTAACAGTTCATGTTACTGGGTTACTAATAGTTCCTGTTACTAGGTTACTAACAGTTCATGTTACTAGGTTACTAATAGTTCCTGTTACTAGGTTACTAACAGTTCATGTTACTAGGTTACTAATAGTTCCTGTTACTAGGTTACTAACAGTTCATGTTACTAGGTTACTAACAGTTCATGTTACTAGGTTACTAATAGTTCCTGTTACTAGGTTACTAACAGTTCATGTTACTAGGTTACTAATAGTTCCTGTTACTAGGTTACTAACAGTTCATGTTACTAGGTTACTAACAGTTCATGTTACTGGGTTACTAATAGTTCCTGTTACTAAGTTACTAACAGTTCCTGTTACTACGTTACTAACAGTTCCTGTTACTAGGTTACTAACAGTTACTGTTACTAGGTTACTAACAGTTCCTGTTACTAGTTTACTAACAGTTCCTGTTACTAGGTTACTAACAGTTCCTGTTACTAGGTTACTAACAGTTCCTGTACTAGGTTACTAACAGTTCCTGTTACTAGGTTACTAACAGTTCCTGTTACTAGGTCACTAACAGTTCCTGTTACTAGGTTACTAACAGTTCCTGTTACTAGGTTACTAACAGTTCATGTTACTAGGTTACTAATAGTTCCTGTTACTAGGTTACTAACAGTTCCTGTTACTAGGTTACTAACAGTTCCTGTTACTAGGTTACTAACAGTTCCTGTTACTAGGTTACTAATAGTTCCTGTTACTAGGTTACTAACAGTTGCTGTTACTACGTTACTAACAGTTCCTGTTACTAGGTTACTAACAGTTACTGTTACTAGGTTACTAACAGTTCCTGTTACTAGGTTACTAACAGTTACTGTTACTAGGTTACTAATAGTTCCTGTTACTAGGTTACTAACAGTTACTGTTACTAGGTTACTAATAGTTCCTGTTACTAGGTTACTAACAGTTCCTGTTACTAGGTTACTACCTAACAGTTCCTGTTACTAGGTTAGTAGGTTACTAACAGTTCCTGTTACTAGGTTACTAACAGTCCCTGTTACTAGTTTACTAACAGTTCCTGTTACTGGGTTACTAGCAGTTCCTGTTACTAGGTTACTAACAGTTCCTGTTACTAGGTTACTAATAGTTCCTGTTACTACGTTACTAACAGTTCCTGTTACTAGGTTACTAACAGTTACTGTTACTAGGTTACTAACAGTTCCTGTTACTAGGTTACTAACAGTTCCTGTTACTAGGTTACTACCTAACAGTTCCTGTTACTAGGTTAGTAGGTTACTAACAGTTCCTGTTACTAGGTTACTAACAGTCCCTGTTACTAGTTTACTAACAGTTCCTGTTACTAGGTTACTAACAGTTCCTGTTACTAGGTTACTAACAGTTCCTGTACTAGGTTACTAACAGTTCCTGTTACTAGGTTACTAACAGTTCCTGTTACTAGGTCACTAACAGTTCCTGTTACTAGGTTACTAACAGTTCCTGTTACTAGGTTACTAACAGTTCATGTTGCTAGGTTACTAATAGTTCCTGTTACTAGGTTACTAACAGTTCCTGTTACTAGGTTACTAACAGTTCCTGTTACTGGGTTACTAACAGTTCCTGTTACTAGGTTACTAACAGTTCCTGTTACTAGGTTACTAATAGTTCCTGTTACTACGTTACTAACAGTTCCTGTTACTAGGTTACTAACAGTTCCTGTTACTACGTTACTAACAGTTCATGTTACTAGGTTACTAACAGTTCCTGTTACTAGGTTACTAACAGTTCATGTTACTGGGTTACTAATAGTTCCTGTTACTAGGTTACTAACAGTTCATGTTACTAGGTTACTAATAGTTCCTGTTACTAGGTTACTAACAGTTCCTGTACTAGGTTACTAACAGTTCCTGTTACTAGGTTACTAACAGTTCCTGTTACTAGGTTACTAACAGTTCCTGTTACTAGGTTACTAACAGTTCCTGTTACTAGGTTACTAACAGTTCCTGTTACTAGGTTACTAACAGTTCCTGTTACTAGGTTACTAACAGTTCCTGTTACTAGGTTACTAACAGTTCCTGTTACTAGGTTACTAACAGTTCATGTTACTAGGTTACTAATAGTTCCTGTTACTAGGTTACTAACAGTTCCTGTTACTAGGTTACTAACAGTTCCTGTTACTAGGTTACTAACAGTCCCTGTTACTAGTTTACTAACAGTTCCTGTTACTGGGTTACTAGCAGTTCCTGTTACTAGGTTACTAACAGTTCCTGTTACTAGGTTACTAATAGTTCCTGTTACTACGTTACTAACAGTTCCTGTTACTAGGTTACTAACAGTTACTGTTACTAGGTTACTAACAGTTCCTGTTACTAGGTTACTAACAGTTCCTGTTACTAGGTTACTACCTAACAGTTCCTGTTACTAGGTTAGTAGGTTACTAACAGTTCCTGTTACTAGGTTACTAACAGTCCCTGTTACTAGTTTACTAACAGTTCCTGTTACTAGGTTACTAACAGTTCCTGTTACTAGGTTACTAACAGTTCCTGTACTAGGTTACTAACAGTTCCTGTTACTAGGTTACTAACAGTTCCTGTTACTAGGTCACTAACAGTTCCTGTTACTAGGTTACTAACAGTTCCTGTTACTAGGTTACTAACAGTTCATGTTGCTAGGTTACTAATAGTTCCTGTTACTAGGTTACTAACAGTTCCTGTTACTAGGTTACTAACAGTTCCTGTTACTGGGTTACTAACAGTTCCTGTTACTAGGTTACTAACAGTTCCTGTTACTAGGTTACTAATAGTTCCTGTTACTACGTTACTAACAGTTCCTGTTACTAGGTTACTAACAGTTCCTGTTACTACGTTACTAACAGTTCATGTTACTAGGTTACTAACAGTTCCTGTTACTAGGTTACTAACAGTTCATGTTACTGGGTTACTAATAGTTCCTGTTACTAGGTTACTAACAGTTCATGTTACTAGGTTACTAATAGTTCCTGTTACTAGGTTACTAACAGTTCCTGTACTAGGTTACTAACAGTTCCTGTTACTAGGTTACTAACAGTTCCTGTTACTAGGTTACTAACAGTTCCTGTTACTAGGTTACTAACAGTTCCTGTTACTAGGTTACTAACAGTTTTTTTTTTTTTTTTTCTTTTTTTTTTTTGAGGAGCACTACCCGAAGGCATTACTCGGCACTAACGCCTTAAAATCTTTAATTACAATCAAATATAAATATATGCACACAATGTATAAAATATTAATAATGTATAAAATGTGATTACGCAATTAGCAAATTTAAATAGTACTATTAAGAGTTTGAAATAACTCTTATCTCTTGACATAAATTTAGAACAGCGACACAGGGTCTGAAGAATGCGCGGTGATATTTTTATCTTTTAAAAGTTGTAAATGACAGTGAAATTGCGCTGTAGCGATAGCATTGTAAAAAATGCTCGAAGATAGTCATATTTCGTTATGAGGTTAAAGTTTTGTTGCTCGTTATTATGATCAACGTATGTTGTACCAAATTATTTAAATTTCTAAAAGTACGAAATTTGAGTTGTTCCAGTCCTTGTCATCCGGGTTAAGTGCTTGTGCAGTAAGCACATGCTTGCTGACTGTAGACTTGAATGAATTTAGGAATTTGTCTTGTAGGCAAGTGGTGACGTATTTTATGTCCTTGTTAATAATGTTGACTGTTTTGTTATATAACTTAGGCCCAATGTAAGAAATGCTCTTGTCTGAATTACATAAACGGTTAAATGGTACTGCAAAGAACTCAGGTTCTCTTCTAGGTGCGTTTAAGTTTGAAACAGTGAACATTCTTATAATATTTGGTGGTGCAGTGTTAGAATAAACTTTGTGCATTAAGCATAATATACATTTAGCTATCACGTTTGGTAAAGCTAATACTTCTAGTTTATTAAAAATTTCCTTTGTGTGTGAAGGTGTGCTATTCAGATCTTTGTCATAAAAATAGCGGTGGTATTGGTTATCTGCAGCGCGAATGCCCTTTTTCTGGGCCGAGAAGACTCTTTTAACGGAGTTTAGCGATCTTGTTCCCCAAACTGTGCAGCAGTAGTACAAGTGAGACTGAACAAAGCTGTTGTATATCAACTTGAGTGCTTTGTTAGGTACTGAGCCTTTGAGTTTGTAGAGAATGCCCGCATTTCTAGATACTTTAGTGGCTAAATGTCTAATGTGGTGGGCCCAATTTAGCTTGGTATCAATGATCACGCCAAGAAACTTTTCGTGATAACTTTGCTTTAGTCGTTCACCTCCCATGTAGATTTCTATATCCTCAGTTTTCTTATTTGTAAAGATCATATATTTAGTTTTGCTAGCATTTAATTTAAGCCCGTTATTAGTAGCCCAATCAATTATCAAAGTCAGAATCTCATTCACCATTGCATTAAGTTGTTCAAAAGTATCTGTACTTATTATTAGGTTTGCGTCGTCAGCGAAATAAATATGTTTAGCTAAATTACTAATCTGAGGAAGGTCGTTGATGTAAATTATGAACAGAATTGGTCCGAGAATGGAGCCCTGTGGAACTCCGTAGTTAAGTTTGAGGTGAGAGGACTTGCAGTTGTTGACGCTCACGTATTGCTCTCTATCGGTTAGATATGAGTCAAACCAAGATAGAGCCAACCCCCGAACTCCATAGTGCTCAAGTTTTCTCAGAAGAATACTGCTGTCAACCATGTCAAAGGCCTTGCTGTAGTCCAATAGAAGCAGTGCTGTGACCTGCTTTTTTTCTAGTGCCCTGTGAATATGGTTTTGGGCTTCTAGTAAAGCATGTTCGCAGCTATGCCCAGCCCGAAATCCGTATTGAGAGTCAAATAGGATTTTCTCTGTCTTTAAGTGATCTAATAGTCGCGCTTGCATAATTTTTTCAAAGATTTTTGAGAAACATGAGAGTAGTGAGATAGGTCGATAGTTTGAAACTTCAGCACGTGACCCACCTTTGTGAAGTGGAATTACTTTCGCGATTTTCAATTTATGTGGAAACTTCCCCTGATGTAGAGACGCAGAGACTAGGCAGCTAAGCACTGGTGCAAGTATATTGCTCACTTTTTTCAGGGGAAGTATACTCATATCAGAAGTCGACTTAATCTTCAAACCCTTAACTATTTCAATTATTTCTGATGCGGACGAATCTTCTAGATTCATGCTCCGCTGGCATCTGCTATCTTGAGTTTCTGTTACGATAGTCCGGCCCTCGGAGCATACGAGACCATTTTCTCTCTTAAGAGTCTCAGCTATATTGCAGAAATAGTCATTGAAGCTATTCGCAATTTGCTGAGAATCTGTTATCTCGCTCCCATTATAGTTAATTTTGTTTATCTTAATTTTGCCTTTTTTCTTTCTGTTTAACAAGTTATTAACCATTTGCCATTGTTTTCTGCTGTCGCTAGAATATTTTGTAAAGTACGCGTTGTAATATTTGTTTTTGGCCTTATCCACGTGTTTATTCACAAATTTCTTCATTTTCTTGTACCTAATATCATTTTCAGTGGTCGGGTTTGTGACAAAATCTTCATAAAATTTATTTTTGCGATCACATGCGCACCGTAACCATTCTTGGATCCACGGCTTTGTGTTTTTACGGCGGCCTGGTTTACTCTTTTTTGCCTTAATTGGGAAATTTCGGTCGTATAGTTCACTATATTTTTTATCGAAAGCCTCAAATTTTTCATCTACAGAATCATAGTTATTAACCAAGTTCCAGTCTACCGCAGAAATGTCGTTCTCGAACTTTTTGATACTGTCATCGTTTATTACTCGAGAAGATGTTTCTGTTGTATCTTCTTGAAGTTTCCTGTTACTAGGTTACTACCTAACAGTTCCTGTTACTAGGTTAGTAGGTTACTAACAGTTCCTGTTACTGGGTTACTAACAGTTCCTGTTACTAGGTTACTAGGTTACTAACAGTTCCTGTTACTAGGTTACTAACAGTTCATGTTACTAGGTTACTAACAGTTCCTGTTACTAGGTTAGTAACAGTTGCTGTTACTACGTTACTAACAGTTCCTGTTACTAGGTTACTAACAGTTACTGTTACTAGGTTACTAATAGTTCCTGTTACTAGGTTACTAACAGTTCCTGTTACTAGGTTACTAACAGTTCCTGTTACTACGTTACTAACAGTTCCTGTTACTAGGTTACTAACAGTTACTGTTACTAGGTTACTAACAGTTCCTGTTACTAGGTTACTAACAGTTCCTGTTACTAGGTTACTAACAGTTCCTGTTACTAGGTTACTACCTAACAGTTCCTGTTACTAGGTTAGTAGGTTACTAACAGTTCATGTTACTAGGTTACTAACAGTTCCTGTTACTAGGTTACTAACAGTTCATGTTACTGGGTTACTTATAGTTCCTGTTACTAGGTTACTAACAGTTCATGTTACTAGGTTACTAATAGTTCCTGTTACTAGGTTACTAACAGTTCCTGTACTAGGTTACTAACAGTTCCTGTTACTAGGTTACTAACAGTTCCTGTTACTAGGTTACTAACAGTTCCTGTTACTAGGTTACTAACAGTTCCTGTTACTAGGTTACTAACAGTTCCTGTTACTAGGTTACTACCTAACAGTTCCTGTTACTAGGTTAGTAGGTTACTAACAGTTCCTGTTACTGGGTTACTAACAGTTCCTGTTACTAGGTTACTAACAGTTCATGTTACTAGGTTACTAACAGTTACTGTTACTAGGTTACTAATAGTTCCTGTTACTAGGTTACTAATAGTTCCTGTTACTAGGTTACTAACAGTTCATGTTACTAGGTTACTAACAGTTCCTGTTACTACGTTACTAACAGTTCCTGTTACTAGGTTACTAACAGTTACTGTTAGTAGGTTACTAACAGTTCCTGTTACTAGGTTACTAACAGTTCCTGTTACTAGGTTACTAACAGTTCCTGTTACTAGGTTACTACCTAACAGTTCCTGTTACTAGGTTAGTAGGTTACTAACAGTTCATGTTACTAGGTTACTAACAGTTCCTGTTACTAGGTTACTAACAGTTCATGTTACTGGGTTACTAATAGTTCCTGTTACTAGGTTACTAACAGTTCATGTTACTAGGTTACTAACAGTTCCTGTTACTAGGTTACTAACAGTTCCTGTTACTAGGTTACTAACAGTTCCTGTTACTAGGTTACTAACAGTTCCTGTTACTAGGTTACTACCTAACAGTTCCTGTTACTAGGTTAGTAGGTTATTAACAGTTCCTGTTACTGGGTTACTAACAGTTCCTGTTACTAGGTTACTAGGTTACTAACAGTTCCTGTTACTAGGTTACTAACAGTTCCTGTTACTAGGTTACTACCTAACAGTTCCTGTTACTAGGTTAGTAAGAACGACTATGGCATTCTCTGAGGCAGTGCACAGGGAATCACACAGTTACTAACAGTTGCTGTTACTAGGTTTGTAAGAACGACTATGGCATTCTCTGAGGCAGTGCACAGGGAATCACACAGTTACTAACAGTTCCTGTTACTAGGTTTGTAAGAACGACTATGGCATTCTCTGAGGCAGTGCACAGGGAATCACACAGTTACTAACAGTTGCTGTTACTAGGTTACTAACAGTTCCTGTTACTAGGTTACTACCTAACAGTTCCTGTTACTAGGTTAGTAGGTTATTAACAGTTCCTGTTACTGGGTTACTAACAGTTCCTGTTACTAGGTTACTAGGTTACTAACAGTTCCTGTTACTAGGTTACTAACAGTTCCTGTTACTAGGTTACTACCTAACAGTTCCTGTTACTAGGTTAGTAAGAACGACTATGGCATTCTCTGAGGCAGTGCACAGGGAATCACACAGTTACTAACAGTTGCTGTTACTAGGTTTGTAAGAACGACTATGGCATTCTCTGAGGCAGTGCACAGGGAATCACACAGTTACTAACAGTTCCTGTTACTAGGTTTGTAAGAACGACTATGGCATTCTCTGAGGCAGTGCACAGGGAATCACACAGTTACTAACAGTTGCTGTTACTAGGTTTGTAAGAACGACTATGGCATTCTCTGAGGCAGTGCACAGGGAATCACACAGTTACTAACAGTTCCTGTTACTAGGTTTGTAAGAACGACTATGGCATTCTCTGAGGCAGTGCACAGGGAATCACACAGTTACTAACAGTTCCTGTTACTAGGTTTGTAAGAACGACTATGGCGTTCTCTGAGGCAGTGCACAGGGAATCACACAGTTACTAACAGTTCCTGTTACTAGGTTTGTAAGAACGACTATGGCGTTCTCTGAGGCAGTGCACAGGGAATCACACAGTTACTAACAGTTCATGTTACTAGGTTTGTAAGAACGACTATGGCATTCTCTGAGGCAGTGCACAGGGAATCACACAGTACTAACAGTTCCTGTTACTAGGTTTGTAAGAACGACTATGGCATTCTCTGAGGCAGTGCACAGGGAATGTTACTAGGTTACTAACAGTTCCTGTTACTAGGTTCGTAACAGAGGCACATATTAGGTGCGATGGGTGCGGGATCGCACAATTTACCGTTTTCCGCACATTTCCGCATAATTTATTGTTTTCCGCACAATTCCGCACATTTTGTAATTTTCTGCATATTTCCGCATAATCTAGAATTTTCCGCGTAATTTCGCATAATTTTGAAATTTTCGCGTTAAGATTTTCGAGTGTAAAAACCAAAATATTTTAAAAGTCGGGCTCTTTTAGGACCGTGACTCAGGCCCTTTCGGGACCCTGACCCAGGCCCTTTCGGGACCGTGACCCAGGCCCTTTCGGGACCCTGACCCAGGCCCTTTCGGGACCCTGACCCAGGCCCTTTTGGAACTCATACCTAGGCCACGTGACCCAGGCCCTTTCGGGACCCTGACCCAGGCCCTTTCGGGACTCTGACCCAGGCCCTTTCGGGACCCTGACCCAGGCCCTTTTGGAACTCATACCTAGGCCACGTGACCCAGTTACCACGTGACCCAGGCCCTTTCGGGACCCTGACCCAGGCCATTTCGGGACCCTGACCCAGGCCCTTTCGGGACCCTGACCCAGGCCCTTTTGGAACTCATGCCTAGGCCACGTGACCCGGTAACCACGTGACCCAGGCCTTTTCGGGACCGTGACCCAGGCCCTTTCGGGACCGTGACCCAGGCCCTTTCGGGACCGTGACTCAGGCCGTTATGGAACCCTCGTCGTTACCGTACTTCGATTATAGTGTATCAGTTATCATTCGTAACTTCACCACATCATCTGATTACTCTATATCACATCACAACGTCATGGACCGTTTCCTAAAGAAACGAACAGCTACAGACAGTGACCCATCATCAAGCTCACCACGCAAGAAACAGAAGATACCTGCATGGGATCTGATCAACTCTATCAAGAGGCGTCTTCAAATAACTGTCTCCTGATCTCTACCAGATCAAGTCACTGTTCTCAGATAACTGAATCTCAATATTAGGTTCAATAATGGTCTTAGTAAAGAACTACACCCTCAGTAACACATAAACAGACTTATTTTTGATAAGAGCGGCGGTTATACGTTTAGAATTTCCAAAGTCCTTGAGAAAATGCAAAAGGAAACCGCACAATTCCCGCACAAATTTCGGAAAAATCGCCGCACATTTGCCGCATAATTGGTAAAAATTTACCGCACCTTACCGCACATTTAACCTTTATAGTAGGGTGCGTTACCGCATAATTTCGATTTTTTTACCGCACCTAATATGTGCCTCTGGTTCGTAAGAACGACTATGGCATTCTCTGAGGCAGTGCACAGGGAATCACACAGTTACTAACAGTTGCTGTTACTAGGTTTGTAAGAACGACTATGGCATTCTCTGAGGCAGTGCACAGGGAATCACACAGTACTAACAGTTCCTGTTACTAGGTTTGTAAGAACGACTATGGCATTCTCTGAGGCAGTGCACAGGGAATCACACAGTTACTAACAGTTCCTGTTACTAGGTTTGTAGGTTACTAACAGTTCCTGTTACTAGGTTACTAACAGTTCCTGTTACTAGGTTTGTAAGAACGACTATGGCATTCTCTGAGGCAGTTCCTGTACTAGGTTACTAACAGTTCCTGTTACTAGGTTACTAACAGTTCCTGTTACTAGGTTTGTAAGAACGACTATGGCATTCTCTGAGGCAGTGCACAGGGAATGTTACTAGGTTACTAACAGTTCCTGTTACTAGGTTAGTAGGTTACTAACAGTTCCTGTTACTAGGTTACTAACAGTTCCTGTTACTAGGTTTGTAAGAACGACTATGGCATTCTCTGAGGCAGTGCACAGGGAATCACACAGTTACTAACAGTTCCTGTTACTAGGTTTGTAAGAACGACTATGGCATTCTCTGAGGCAGTGCACAGGGAATAGGTTAGTAGGTTACTAACAGTTCCTGTTACTAGGTTTGTAAGAACGACTATGGCATTCTCTGAGGCAGTGCACAGGGAATCACACAGTACTAACAGTTCCTGTTACTAGGTTTGTAAGAACGACTATGGCATTCTCTGAGGCAGTGCACAGGGAATCACACAGTTACTAACAGTTCCTGTTACTAGGTTTGTAGGTTACTAACAGTTCCTGTTACTAGGTTACTAACAGTTCATGTTGCTAGGTTACTAATAGTTCCTGTTACTAGGTTACTAACAGTTCCTGTTACTAGGTTACTAACAGTTCCTGTTACTGGGTTACTAACAGTTCCTGTTACTAGGTTACTAACAGTTCCTGTTACTAGGTTACTAATAGTTCCTGTTACTACGTTACTAACAGTTCCTGTTACTAGGTTACTAACAGTTCCTGTTACTACGTTACTAACAGTTCATGTTACTAGGTTACTAACAGTTCCTGTTACTAGGTTACTAACAGTTCATGTTACTGGGTTACTAATAGTTCCTGTTACTAGGTTACTAACAGTTCATGTTACTAGGTTACTAATAGTTCCTGTTACTAGGTTACTAACAGTTCCTGTACTAGGTTACTAACAGTTCCTGTTACTAGGTTACTAACAGTTCCTGTTACTAGGTTACTAACAGTTCCTGTTACTAGGTTACTAACAGTTCCTGTTACTAGGTTACTAACAGTTCCTGTTACTAGGTTACTACCTAACAGTTCCTGTTACTAGGTTAGTAGGTTACTAACAGTTCCTGTTACTGGGTTACTAACAGTTCCTGTTACTAGGTTACTAGGTTACTAACAGTTCCTGTTACTAGGTTACTAACAGTTCATGTTACTAGGTTACTAACAGTTCCTGTTACTAGGTTACTAACAGTTGCTGTTACTACGTTACTAACAGTTCCTGTTACTAGGTTACTAACAGTTACTGTTACTAGGTTACTAATAGTTCCTGTTACTAGGTTACTAACAGTTCCTGTTACTAGGTTACTAACAGTTCCTGTTACTACGTTACTAACAGTTCCTGTTACTAGGTTACTAACAGTTACTGTTACTAGGTTACTAACAGTTCCTGTTACTAGGTTACTAACAGTTCCTGTTACTAGGTTACTAACAGTTCCTGTTACTAGGTTACTACCTAACAGTTCCTGTTACTAGGTTAGTAGGTTACTAACAGTTCATGTTACTAGGTTACTAACAGTTCCTGTTACTAGGTTACTAACAGTTCATGTTACTGGGTTACTTATAGTTCCTGTTACTAGGTTACTAACAGTTCATGTTACTAGGTTACTAATAGTTCCTGTTACTAGGTTACTAACAGTTCCTGTACTAGGTTACTAACAGTTCCTGTTACTAGGTTACTAACAGTTCCTGTTACTAGGTTACTAACAGTTCCTGTTACTAGGTTACTAACAGTTCCTGTTACTAGGTTACTAACAGTTCCTGTTACTAGGTTACTACCTAACAGTTCCTGTTACTAGGTTAGTAGGTTACTAACAGTTCCTGTTACTGGGTTACTAACAGTTCCTGTTACTAGGTTACTAACAGTTCATGTTACTAGGTTACTAACAGTTACTGTTACTAGGTTACTAATAGTTCCTGTTACTAGGTTACTAATAGTTCCTGTTACTAGGTTACTAACAGTTCATGTTACTAGGTTACTAACAGTTCCTGTTACTACGTTACTAACAGTTCCTGTTACTAGGTTACTAACAGTTACTGTTAGTAGGTTACTAACAGTTCCTGTTACTAGGTTACTAACAGTTCCCTGTTACTAGGTTACTAACAGTTCCTGTTACTAGGTTACTACCTAACAGTTCCTGTTACTAGGTTAGTAGGTTACTAACAGTTCATGTTACTAGGTTACTAACAGTTCCTGTTACTAGGTTACTAACAGTTCATGTTACTGGGTTACTAATAGTTCCTGTTACTAGGTTACTAACAGTTCATGTTACTAGGTTACTAACAGTTCCTGTTACTAGGTTACTAACAGTTCCTGTTACTAGGTTACTAACAGTTCCTGTTACTAGGTTACTAACAGTTCCTGTTACTAGGTTACTACCTAACAGTTCCTGTTACTAGGTTAGTAGGTTATTAACAGTTCCTGTTACTGGGTTACTAACAGTTCCTGTTACTAGGTTACTAGGTTACTAACAGTTCCTGTTACTAGGTTACTAACAGTTCCTGTTACTAGGTTACTACCTAACAGTTCCTGTTACTAGGTTAGTAAGAACGACTATGGCATTCTCTGAGGCAGTGCACAGGGAATCACACAGTTACTAACAGTTGCTGTTACTAGGTTTGTAAGAACGACTATGGCATTCTCTGAGGCAGTGCACAGGGAATCACACAGTTACTAACAGTTCCTGTTACTAGGTTTGTAAGAACGACTATGGCATTCTCTGAGGCAGTGCACAGGGAATCACACAGTTACTAACAGTTGCTGTTACTAGGTTACTAACAGTTCCTGTTACTAGGTTACTACCTAACAGTTCCTGTTACTAGGTTAGTAGGTTATTAACAGTTCCTGTTACTGGGTTACTAACAGTTCCTGTTACTAGGTTACTAGGTTACTAACAGTTCCTGTTACTAGGTTACTAACAGTTCCTGTTACTAGGTTACTACCTAACAGTTCCTGTTACTAGGTTAGTAAGAACGACTATGGCATTCTCTGAGGCAGTGCACAGGGAATCACACAGTTACTAACAGTTGCTGTTACTAGGTTTGTAAGAACGACTATGGCATTCTCTGAGGCAGTGCACAGGGAATCACACAGTTACTAACAGTTCCTGTTACTAGGTTTGTAAGAACGACTATGGCATTCTCTGAGGCAGTGCACAGGGAATCACACAGTTACTAACAGTTGCTGTTACTAGGTTTGTAGAACGACTATGGCATTCTCTGAGGCAGTGCACAGGGAATCACACAGTTACTAACAGTTCCTGTTACTAGGTTTGTAAGAACGACTATGGCATTCTCTGAGGCAGTGCACAGGGAATCACACAGTTACTAACAGTTCCTGTTACTAGTTTGTAAGAACGACTATGGCGTTCTCTGAGGCAGTGCACAGGGAATCACACAGTTACTAACAGTTCCTGTACTAGGTTTGTAAGAACGACTATGGCATTCTCTGAGGCAGTGCACAGGGAATCACACAGTACTAACAGTTCCTGTTACTAGGTTTGTAAGAACGACTATGGCATTCTCTGAGGCAGTGCACAGGGAATGTTACTAGGTTACTAACAGTTCCTGTTACTAGGTTCGTAAGAACGACTATGGCATTCTCTGAGGCAGTGCACAGGGAATCACACAGTTACTAACAGTTGCTGTTACTAGGTTTGTAAGAACGACTATGGCATTCTCTGAGGCAGTGCACAGGGAATCACACAGTACTAACAGTTCCTGTTACTAGGTTGTAAGAACGACTATGGCATTCTCTGAGGCAGTGCACAGGGAATCACACAGTTACTAACAGTTCCTGTTACTAGGTTTGTAGGTTACTAACAGTTACCTGTTACTAGGTTACTAACAGTTCCTGTTACTAGGTTTGTAAGAACGACTATGGCATTCTCTGAGGCAGTTCCTGTACTAGGTTACTAACAGTTCCTGTTACTAGGTTACTAACAGTTCCTGTTACTAGGTTTGTAAGAACGACTATGGCATTCTCTGAGGCAGTGCACAGGGAATGTTACTAGGTTACTAACAGTTTCTGTTACTAGGTTAGTAGGATACTAACAGTTCCTGTTACTAGGTACTAACAGTTCCTGTTACTAGGTTTGTAAGAACGACTATGGCATTCTCTGAGGCAGTGCACAGGAATCACACAGTTACTAACAGTTCCTGTACTAGGTTTGTAAGAAAGACTATGGCATTCTCTGAGGCAGTGCACCAGGGAATAGGTTAGTAGGTTACTAACAGTTCCTGTTATAGGTTTGTAAGAACGACTATGGCATTCTCTGAGGCAGTGCACAGGGAATCACACAGTACTAACAGTTCCCTGTTACTAGGTTTGTAAGAACGACTATGGCATTCTCTGAGGCAGTGCACAGGGAATCACCACAGTTACTAACAGTTCCTGTTACTAGGTTTGTAGGTTACTAACAGTTCCTGTTACTAGGTTACTAACAGTTCCTGTTACTAGTTTGTAAGAACGACTATGGCATTCTCTGAGCAGTTCCCTGTACTAGGTTACTAACAGTTCCTGTTACTAGGTTACTAACAGTTCCTGTTACTAGGTTTGTAAGAACGACTATGGCTTCTCTGAGGCAGTGCACAGGGAATGTTACTAGGGTTACTAACAGTTCCTGTTACTAGGTTAGTAGGTTACTAACAGTTCCTGTTACTAGGTTACTAACAGTTCCTGTTACTAGGTTTGTAAGAACGACTATGGCATTCTCTGAGGCAGTGCACAGGGAATCTCACAGTTACTAACAGTTCCTGTTACTAGGTTTGTAAGAACGACTATGGCATTCTCTGAGGCAGTGCACAGGGAATCACACAGTTACTAACAGTTCCTGTTATGGTTTTGAAGAAGATATGGTTCTCTACCTTCAAAATTCAACTTTACTTAAGGGGTACCTTTACACAATTATTTTTTTTTATATACTTTACATCATACCCTTATTTATCAAAAACCTTTTTCCCCTTTACTTAACACTAATAATTTAATTTTTTTAATTTCCTTTAAATTAAAAAAAAAAACCAAAACCCCCTCAACCTAACAAATTTTTACTTTTTATTAAAACCCTTTAAAAAAATCCCATTTAACCTTTTTTATATACTTATTTAAAAGCCCTTTACTTAAAATTTTAACATTTTTACTTTCATACTAACCTTAATTTTATCTAATAGTAGTAATGTTTGTTTTATATTTGTGTTCTTTTTAAATGATACACACCATACCCCCAAACCAACTATTTCCCCCCCCAAGGTCCCTCTTTTTTTATAATTTTTAAATATAAAAGTATTAAAAGTATTAAAAGTATTAAAAGTATTAAAAGTATTTAAAGTTTTAATACTTTCAACACTACTATATAACAAATAATTTGAGGTGACACTCCTGTGGATGGCCCTCAAAGGCCGAAACTAGTTGAGTCTTCAGCAGATCACCCTGGAATACGTCGTATCATTTGTTTGATGACACTTAACTATCTTGTGATCCTTTACTGCTTTATTCCGGGGCGATTGTGGCTACAAAACTCGATATTGGCTTGTTTTTTCCACCTCAACGTCAGCGAAAGCTCTAACAAATGATAGTATGATATACTTTAAAAACTTTTATTTTGGAAACCACATTTTAAAAGTAATAACTGTGATTTGCAGCAAGTCTCAACATATTAACTTTGCAGCAAGTCTCAAAAGGGTACGACCACATCCACGAGGTATACAGCATGTTTGTGGGACAGCCCCACTTCGCGGCTATTATAGACCTACTCGGCTACCAGGGGGTCTCGCTCATTATTGAGGGTCTCCTTGAAAATGTCCGAAACAAGGTAATACCTTATTTTACTATGTGTATTTGCTTACAAATGCTTCTTCAATCAAATATATTCCGTTCTTTATTCCTAAGGCTCTTTCGTTTCTGATTGATTTTTGGAATTCTTAGGTTTGCACTGAATAGTACTAATTTATAAGAGCAGTGTAACTTTATTACCTACTTAAAATGTCCCTCCCAGTTGACGTACTCACTGTTGAACTATGTCCTGACTCTGAAGGAGGGAATGCCACCAGAGCTTAACCGACCTCGTTTCGAATATGGTCCTATTGGTAAGCCAGACTTATAGCTTTATATCAGTGCTATATATACATATCACCGGAGACTCGCGGGCGGAACAAAATATTGCACGCGCACGCGCGTGCAATATTTCATATGTCCCCGAGGGCGCTAGCCCGAGGAGGACATATTTTCGTATAGCACGGAGGGCCCATCGGGCCCGAGTGCTATACGATTTTTCCGCCCGTGGGTCGAGGTGATGTGGATTATATCCACCAGCGGGCGTATTACAGTTAATATATAATTTTATAAATAAACAATGGAGCTTGTATAAAAGTCAACTCTAGAAAAGGTCGCCACTAATTGTTGTAACCATGGTAACACGTCACGTGTTCAATGTAAGCCAATCATAAAGGGCTGTGTCGTATATAGGGGCTGGAGATGCACTGCATTCCTGGGCCGTGGGAATAATGAATGTAATGTCAGTGACGATGAATATCAATAATATAGGGGGATTATAGTGCTGATGTGTATTATTATGTAGTGTGTTATAATAACTTTGATATAAATCAAAGTATCATGTCATCTGCTCACGAGCTGCATGAGCAGCCCTACCGGACACAAAAATAAAATGTATATATTATAGTCAGTGTATTAAGGAATTTCACATGGAGACGATACAGAAACTGAAAATATTTTAGAGAACTCCGGGCTATATTGCTACTGGTCAAATTAAATGTCACTTGTTAGCGGGCTATATCATGAGCGGGCTGTAGAGATATCGGGTCCTTTGACAGCGGGCTGGTGAGAGCCCGCTATGCGAAAAAGCGCACGCTGGTGGATATAAGTGCAATATAACCGCTTTCAAGCATATATATACATATCACCGGAGACTCGCGGGCGGAACAAAATATTGCACGCGCACGCGCGTGCAATATTTCATATGTCCCCGAGGGCGCTAGCCCGAGGAGGACATATTTTCGTATAGCACGGAGGGCCCATCGGGCCCGAGTGCTATACGATTTTTCCGCCCGTGGGTCGAGGTGATGTGGATTATATCCACCAGCGGGCGTATTACAGTTAATATATAATTTTATAAATAAACAATGGAGCTTGTATAAAAGTCAACTCTAGAAAAGGTCGCCACTAATTGTTGTAACCATGGTAACACGTCACGTGTTCAATGTAAGCCAATCATAAAGGGCTGTGTCGTATATAGGGGCTGGAGATGCACTGCATTCCTGGGCCGTGGGAATAATGAATGTAATGTCAGTGACGATGAATATCAATAATATAGGGGGATTATAGTGCTGATGTGTATTATTATGTAGTGTGTTATAATAACTTTGATATAAATCAAAGTATCATGTCATCTGCTCACGAGCTGCATGAGCAGCCCTACCGGACACAAAAATAAAATGTATATATTATAGTCAGTGTATTAAGGAATTTCACATGGAGACGATACAGAAACTGAAAATATTTTAGAGAACTCCGGGCTATATTGCTACTGGTCAAATTAAATGTCACTTGTTAGCGGGCTATATCATGAGCGGGCTGTAGAGATATCGGGTCCTTTGACAGCGGGCTGGTGAGAGCCCGCTATGCGAAAAAGCGCACGCTGGTGGATATATTACTATATTATTAACTATTCTCACATTGAAAGGCATTAAAATAACAAAAATAACAATTTGACAGGTGTTTTCGAGTTCTACCACACCAAGTTAGAGAGCATATTCAGATACTCGGAGCTGACAACAAACGTTTTCCAAACTATCCGAGAAATCGGTAATTTCGTCCTTTTCACCATGCTCATCGAACAAGTTATGGTATGTCCGGAATTTAGTTAGAATTTTAATAGATAAGGATTAGGAACCTGCCGAATATCCGGCTAACCGGAAAATAGACTGCTTTCTGGCAGCCAAAACAACAAAAAAGCAGACCGGTCCTCATCTATACATGCGACATGAAGAGTATCACCTCTTCTTCCTGATCCTTATGATCGTTAATTTAAATGGTTTACCAGTTTCTGTTCTTGGTGTGATGATAATCACACAATTGGTGTGATAATAATCACACAATTGGTGCGATAATAATCACACAATTGGTGCGATAATAATCACACAATTGGTGCGATAATAATCACACAATTTGCGCGATAATAATCACACAATTGGCGCGATAATAATCACACAATTGGTGAGATAATAATGATTAGTGATCAGTGGTTATTCTCTATCAAACATGCTCTGTAATCGTAATCTTTTCAAGCTTTTGTTTTATCAACCTTCATCTCCCAGTCAGAAGAGGAGATAATGGATTTACTGCAAGCCTCTCCCTTCCTTGGCATCATGCCTAAACCTGTTGTTAAAAACGAGGAGAACGAAGAGACGAGAGAAAAGAAAGTGATGGAGAAGGTAAAGAGAGAAACAGTAATCTTCTCTTGTTAATACACAGCATCTAGTAACACTTAGTAACACCTAGTAACACTTAGTAACACTTAGTAACATCTAGTAACACCTAGTAACATCTAGTAACAACTAGTAACACTTAGTAACACTTAGTAGCACCTAGTAACATCTAGTAACACCTAGTAACACCTAGTAACACTTAGTAACACCTGGTAACACTTAGTAACACCTAGTAACACTTAGTAGCACCTGGTAACACTTAGTAACACCTAGTAACACTTAGTAGCACCTAGTAACATCTAGTAATACATAGTAACACCTAGTGACACCTAGTAACACCTAGTAACACCTAGTAACACCTAGTAACACCTAGTAACAACTAGTAACACCTGGTAAGTGGTAACATCTGGTAACACTTAGTAACACCTAGTAACATCTAGTAACACCTAGTAATACATAGTAACACCTAGTAACACCTAGTAACACTTAGTAACACTTAGTAACACCTGATATTACAGACGAAGATGATGGAGGCGCATTACTCTTCTCTTGTGCTAATCTCACAGATAGAAAAGACAGGCACGCCAGAGGTTTGTGCTATTTGTAAAATATTTCGATATCCAAAAGACCCCAGACCGGTCGGTTCCCAGTGCATTAATCCCGTTACCTAGTAGCACCTAGTAACATTCCTGTTACTAGGTGTTTTGAATACACGGGATTATTTGACAGACGTTAGTAATTAAACACTAAACTTGTCCCTCACAGCAAGTAGACATTGCACGGGACAGTTTGCAGTTAGCAAGGGAGCGACTCTGTAAGAACCTCTCTATATTGTCCTATGTACTGGAGAAGCTGAGATCTTATCTCTCCAACGAGGGTTGGATAGGGGACAACCCTCCTAACGGTGTCATGTGAGTAACCTCACTAACCTAACTAACGTCACTAATCTCACTAACCTCACTATCCTCACTAACCTCACCAACCTCACTAACCTCACTAACCTCACTATCCTCACTAACTTCGCTAACCTGACTTACCTCGATATCCTCACTATCCTCACTATCCTCACTATCCTCACTATCCTCACTAACCTCACTAACCTAACTAACCTCACTAACCTCACTAACCTCACTAACCTAACTAACCTAACTAACGTCACTAATCTCACTATCCTCACTAACTTCGCTAACATGACTTACCTCGATATCCTCACTAACCTCACTAACCTCACTATCCTCACTATCCTCACTATCCTCACTAACCTCACTAACCTCACTAACCTCACTAATCTCACTATCCTCACTAACTTTGCTAACCTGACTAACCTCACTATCCTCACTAACCTCACTAACTTCACTTAACTCACTAACCTCACTAACCTCACTAACCTCACTATCCTCACTTACCTCACTAACTTCACTTAACTCACTCACCTCACTAACCTCACTAACCTCACTATCCTCACTAACCTCACTAACCTCACTAACCTCACTATCCTCACTTACCTCACTAACCTCACTATCCTCACTAACCTCACTAACCTCACTAACCTCACTATCCTCACTTACCTCACTAACTTCACTTAACTCACTAACCTCACTAACCTCACTAACCCTCCCACCTTTTGCAGGTACATGGACGAGTGTAAAGAGTTTCACAGGTTGTGGAGTGCCATGCAGCTCTTCATTGCTATGTCTCCTCTCATGAGCGGGGCTGGTTCCCAGAACTCTAACGAGTAAGTTACCAGGGTTACCAGGGTTACCAGGGTTACCAGGGTTACCAGGGTTACCAGGGTTCCCAGAACTCTTACGAGTAAGTTACCAGGGTTACCAGGGTTACCAGGGTTACCAGGGTTAATTTTATTTTTCCGAGCTTTTATTCCTGACCTGTCATCTCTAAATATGCTGGGTTTTTTAAGAAATATGTTCCAAGACTCTGGGTAATATTGTTAGAGATGACAGGACTGCAGCTGTAACTGCAGCTGTAACTGCAGCTGTAACTGCAGCTATAACTACAGCTGTAACTGTAACTGCAGCTGTAACTCAGTAACTGTAACTGCAGCCGGACTACTTTGTTCACATTCTAACCCATCTCTACAAGGTCCTCTAATAAAGGTCGTAGAGTGAGTGCCCCAAACAAGGCCGGCAAACTAACGAAGGATAAAATCCAGTTTAGCCCGGGGATGGAAGTTGAGAATTGTCCTCCGTTAATGTTTAAAACGTAAGATATACACTCTCTCTGGTCTCTTGACAGAGAGGCAGCCCTGTGATTACGAAGCACCTCCTTCATTACTGAACACTCAATACTCTAGTTGCTATAGTTGCTATAGTTGCTATAGCAACTGTACAGATGTCTAGACAAGAGCAGATATCTATCATTTAAATGTTTTCTACCGATCAATTATGTGATTAATTACATATTCTCATAATTAATTACACATTCTCTCCTGCATGATCGGTATTAAACATCTTGATACCAATCCCGAATCCGTCTTAAACTATTATCTTTATTCTTAAACTTTTTAAATTATTGATTCAAACCCACTAAACAAATATCATATCAATTTTTTAGCATTCGTCACATTTATGTTAGCTTCGTGGCTGATTAGACGCAATCACTTCGGACGTAAATGTGTTCAAATTTGTGGCTGAATAGTGAAAATAGATAATGTTTCACAATAAATGTAAAGCCAATAAGTAATCTTTATTAAGTTAAACTCAAGATCTCTCCCTTAACGTTGTCACAATATAGCTGATAGCTCACCTTATTAATATTGCTGGCTTCGCTTTATGTCAAAAATTCAGTTTTAACATTCGTGCATATACCCTCATATTCGTGCATATACCCTCATATTCGTGCATATACCCTCATATTCGTGCATATACCCTCCTATTCGTGCATATACCCTCTTATTTGTGCATATAATACACTCCTATTTGTTACCTGAACAGTAGGTCGCGTGACCAAATGGCAGATATGCTGAATATCTGTAGCCGCTCTGTCGCCGCTTGTAGCCGCTTGTAGCCGCTTGTAGCCGCTTGTAGCCGCTCTGCGGCTCTGTCGCTTGCTATCAACGTGACCACGTGGGGGAGTATAAATAGTCACGTTTTTGTTGCTTTTAGGGTTAGGGAGGAGTAAAAAAGAGAAGTTAGCCATATAACTTCCTTTTCTATCCAAAATTAGATTCATTATTATAAATTCATATATTTATCTAATTATTTGAATATTTGAATAACTTCACGTTACTCTTACTCTGATCTTACTTCTTGCCTATTTTCTTACACTCTGGTTAGTTACCATGGTTACACTCTGGAGCACTGGACCAGACACCATCTCCTCCGCAAACTATCTCATTTTCTCCAACCAGGAGATATCTTTTATTCTTACAGCTGACAGCCAGAGAAACCCCAGGTAGCAGGGGCCCCTCTGGTAGCAGGGGCCCCTCTGGTAGCAGGGGCCCCTCTGGTAGCAGGGGCCCCTCTGGTAGCAGGGGCCCCTCTGGTAGCAGGGGCCCCTCTGGTAGCAGGGGCCCCCAGGTAACAGGGGCCCCTCTGGTAACAGGGGCCCCAGGTAGCAGGGGCCCCTCTGGTAGCAGGGGCCCCTCTGGTAGCAGGGGCCCCCAGGTAACAGGGGCCCCTCTGGTAACAGGGGCCCCAGGTAGCAGGGGCCCCCAGGTAGCAGGGGCCCCTCTGGTAGCAGGGGCCCCCAGGTAACAGGGGCCCCCAGGTAGCAGGGGCCCCTCTGGTAGCAGGGGCCCCCAGGTAACAGGGGCCCCCAGGTAGCAGGGGCCCCTCTGGTAGCAGGGGCCCCCAGGTAACAGGGGCCCCCAGGTAGCAGGGGCCCCTCTGGTAGCAGGGGCCCCTCTGGTAGCAGGGGCCCCTCTGGTAGCAGGGGCCCCCAGGTAACAGGGGCCCCAGGTAGCAGGGGCCCCTCTGGTAGCAGGGGCCCCTCTGGTAGCAGGGGCCCCCAGGTAGCAGGGGCCCCCAGGTAGCAGGGGCCCCTCTGGTAGCAGGGGCCCCCAGGTAACAGGGGCCCCCAGGTAGCAGGGGCCCCTCTGGTAGCAGGGGCCCCCAGGTAACAGGGGCCCCCAGGTAGCAGGGGCCCCTCTGGTAGCAGGGGCCCCCAGGTAACAGGGGCCCCCAGGTAGCAGGGGCCCCTCTGGTAGCAGGGGCCCCCAGGTAGCGATGCTACCACTACCCAGCCGGCTATCAGCCAAATAAGAAAGGGTGGTGTAGTGTACCCCCCCCCCCCCCAATAAGAGGGGGTGATGTAGTGTACCCCCCCCCCCCCCCATAAGAGGGGGTGGTGTAGTGTACCCACCCCCCTTATAAGAGGGGGTGATGTAGTGTACCCCCCCCCCCCATAAGAGGGGGTGGTGTAGTGTACCCACCCCCCCCCCCCCCCCCCAATAAGAAAGGGTGGTGTAGTGTACCCCCCCCCCCCCCCCCCCCCCCCCCCCCCCAGTAAGAGGGCGGTTGTACATGTAGTGTACCCACCCGCTAACGGCTAAACATGGTAAAACCAGACAGGTCAGAATAATCCTTCTCTCGAAAAAGGTTTTATTGAATAATGTTATCATTTGTATTGGCACCAGCCTCTCCGACGAATCTTTAATTTTGCAACTAGCTAATTTGTTAACAGTAAATCATATTTATTAACAAATAAGAACAATGACTATACAAATTGAATACATTTAATAAATTCATGCTTCAATTTTATTACAGCCCACAAAGTTTATAAAATTCAGTGAACATGCTATATAGCGCACCGACAGTCCACGTTCAACCCTCAGGATCGCTTTCCCCTTTGGAAATAGTCGTATACTTGATAGCATTTGCTCTTTTCTTGGGTTTCTCTATTTTCTTGTCCATTTGCATAACCTTGAAGCAGTAGATGGCACAAACAATGGACTCCGCAATGAAAATCAACCCCAGTATTCCAGTAGACCAGCCAAATGAAGCGTACGGAGCAATGAATCCCGACACAGTGGTCCCTATGAAGATGCCGGTAGGGAAAGCAGCACAGTAAAGAGAAACCAGCGAGTTAACAACCCACGTGGGCAGGTGGCCGTGGTGAGCCGCGCGGTACACATTAAACATAACCGGCAGAGCAGAGATACAGGCCATGGGGACAGCAAGTCCTAAGAAGGCGAGGGAGGTGATGAGTTGTGTTCTGGAGGGGGCGAGGAAGGTGAGGAGAGGGAGGGGCCCCACACAGACATACACCAGCGGGAGGAGAACACATGAGGCTAGCATCATTTTACAGGGCCCAAACTTGTCAATGAGCATACCTAATAGTGGGGAGAAAATGCAAACCACTGCTGTGCTGACAAGTTGGACTGTTCCGGACCAGACCACGTCTGCTCCGAACGTGTGCTCTGCGTACACTGAGAGAAGAGGCATGTGATAGGTCATGAGGATCTGGCCAAATGCCAAATGCCAAAGAGGGAACAACAGCCAAGGATCTAGAAATGAGGACCAGTTTTCAGTAGCTAGGCTCACTTCTTCATTTTCTTTGAGATCCTTCTTGCTAAAATTAGGGAAAAATGTCGCAGGAATTGAGCTTACCATCACTATAGCTCCAGGAACTATGAACGCTAATTTGAAGCCGCTAGAAGAATAGAGCACAGCCCCGATGAAAGGAGCACAAGCCACCGCACCATTTAGCACTGCCTCCCCAATGGAGGTAACAACACCAACTTTATCAGGGTAGATGGCAAGTAGAGCTGAAAATATGATAGTGTTGATACAGCCGCCTAGCATTCCAATCAGGAAACGATCCAGCACCGCTAGGATTTTGAAGACAGTCAAGTCTTGAACTATATCCAGCAGAGCGAAGAGCAAGGTGAAGAGACCAAGACAGGCGGCAGAAAGGGACATGACCACAGGTGTAGTAAACTTGGCCAGAAGAAAGGTGGCGAGGAATATGGGGCCAAATATCAAGCCAATGTGGGAGCCACCCAGAATTACTCCAGTCAAGGCGGTGGAGATGTTCCGGTCTTCGCTGTAGAGCGGGAGGAAGCTGTAAGGAAGGTTGAAGTTAAGGAATGTAACCGTTTGAAAAGCGCAGATGGAGATGAACGTTATAAGCTTTCTTCGAGCTGTAAACGTATCCACCACGGTAGAGGTAGGCTCTGAGGGTCGGTCTGCCATTTCTGGATTTAGGTCCCTAATTGCGAAAGGGTTAATAATATTGATTTAAGAACACAATTTAAGAGTTTGCTAACAGTGATTTGATAATCATGTAGGGAATGTTGGTGGACCATAAATTGGCCACTATCATACAGCATCTTGTTCTGTTCATTAGTGATGGCGAATTCACGTATCACTTTTGGTCAATTTTAGACCCCCTCCAACCCTCTGTAGACTGTGATCAGTTTTACGCATACAGTTTTATGCATAGCTATTGTGCCAAAGATACACTAGTGTAATCATTTGAGATTCAGTGGAGAGACCGTTGCCACTTGATAAGCCGCTCAGCTTAAAATACAAATAGGAAAATTATTCAATCACATCTTAAAGCAACTTCCCCAATAATTACTCAAATTTAAATTAAGGATATAATCTCGATGCAGAACTTGATTCTCGCCTAAAGAAAATGCTTCCCTGAATCAGCGCAATGAACATAACAAGATGCTGTATGAATGAAGAGAATTCGTAGTCCAAACATGAACATAACGATAAACATTTCTCCTCAACCTTGAGAATAAATTCGACATAAACCTTACCCTCAAAAACGTGAGTTTTATACTCTCAATCGCCGTTCAGTGTTATTACACATCTAAATTTCAACAATGCTATTAGTTCACAGGCTCACTATACGAAATCGAGACAATGGAAAATGATTCAAGTGTAAAGCTTGAACGATTACACCATTAGATGAGTTACATTATATTGAGTGTTTCTAATGAAGTATTCATAGGAATTGAGGGACTCAATCGAGGGAGTAGACATGTTTGATGATGTGACGTTACGAATTTTACTTTACTTCATTTGCCGGGTGTGGTTCTGGGACTTGTTATGAAACAAGAGGTTCCTTAGAACCTGTAAGGAGTATGACAGTAGGTGTACTCTCACAATGAACACACAGATAGCATTCCCTGGCAATATCAACATTTTAAGTACGATTTAATCACTCAACTTCAAAGCTTCCTGTAGGATTTTCCCAAAGCTAAAAACTTTGCCTCCGAGTGAAATTGAGTTATTTATACATTGATAAAGACCATATATATATATAGATATGGATGCAGGTCAACAATCGAAAGAATGCCAGAAGCATCGAAAACTATAAAAGTAAGACCAGGCCATGCAGTACTACTGTTTATCCCTGACGGTTAAAAAGAATTAAAACGAATTGTCAAAATAAAAAACTAAAGTGGACCAAAAGCCCAGAACTCTTTAAAACACGACGTGTTTTATACAAGGTAAGGTAAGGAAGACTACTGTTGTCAAGGAAAATTGCGTCGCGTGACTATGTGGTTACACTAGATACTGAAAAGTTGTGGTTTTCCCTGCAAAGTTATTACGTAAATTGTTGCGCGCGTCAGAAGTGGCGAATATACTGTATTTACCAGGCAAACACAGGTATATTAGCGATAAGAGCCATTGTCGGACGTGAGGAGAGTGAGGGGAGCGAGGTTGTTTATTGAGGTTGCTTATTGAGGTTGTTACAGAAGGCTACCGGACAACTGAACCCAATTTTGACTTTTCCTAGACAGGGTAGCTAGGGAAAATAATTATAAACCCAATCGGTCTACCTAATTTAAATTAACTTTGAAACGACAACTAAACCTAATCGTCACTAGAAATAACTAACAGATAAACAGGTTTTTAAATGCCGCTCTAGTTTAGCTGCTGCCTGGTTTCTACTGCTATAATTTATAGTGTTGTAATTAGGTTACTAATAAGATGAAGGTCATTTTATCACATTAGTGAAACTAACCTACGGCACTAACTACGGCACTAACTACGTCACTAACTACGTCACTAACTACGTTACTAACTACGGCACTAACTACGTCACTAACTACGTCACTAACTACGTTACTAACTACGTCACTAACTACGTCACTAACCTACGTCACTAACCTACGTCTAAACGAGCTTTTATTATTGCTTACTATATACTGTATCATACTACGATAAAATTAGTGTGGATACTACACCTTCCACTTTAACAAACTAACATGCTTGTGATTCAAATTATAAGATTATTTACGAATATACACATGATTAAAAAACAATTGATTTACAACAATTGAGAACAGGTCATGCATAGATCACATTTATTTACGGAAACATCCATCAATATGACTGGAAATACTTGCTTACAGACCTGATAGAATTACACAGAATTCTCGGAATTATTTGAAGTAAGCTCTGTTCAGGGATATGTTTGAATATGTGCATTAATTTAGCACACAATGCCTAGACTAGACACGCACAACAAGAAAACAAGAAAACGGAACGTCGCTTTTCCCGCTACCACTACTACTACTACTACTGTCACTAGTAGTTACCATGACAACACTACTACTACTACTACTACTTTTCCCACTAGGTAGTTTAATTAATCCGATTGAGAGCCTTGCTAACATATAGTAGATAGATATAGTGAATGGTATGTGATCCATTAAATTTGTTTGGACGAACAATGATGTTTTGTTGGAACATTTAATTAGATTTCCTGTAATTAGTTCTGCAGCCTTAATTTAATAATGCAGGGAACCAGTACCATTAGCCTTACCATTTAAATCAATTATTTTAAATGCTTCTCGTGGGAAGCGGGGGTTTGGACTAAGTGGGACTAAGAGAGACGAGTAAAGTTTGAATTGCTCGGGTCCTCTCAAAGATTTTAACACCATTTCACGAATTAATTAATTAATTATGTGCCCTTTAAAATTAAAGGGCACATAATAATTTAGGTCATTCGAGCGTAGACCATGGCCTATCGGGCGCCTATCGGGCGCCTATTGGGCGCCTATCAGACGCCTATCGGGCGGGTATAGGACGCAGCGGCGGAAGTCACTGCGGCGGTGTACAGTCCGGCGGAGGACGGTACAGCGGAGGACGGTACGGCGGTAGTTTCCAAAAAGGTTGGACGGTACGGCGGATCACATGACACCCGCTTTACTTTGGACAGTACGGCGGTACTAAACCTACTAGAAACTGTACCTATAAGATAGACCTAGCACTGCTAATATAACAAAATCGATTAGCTTTAAAAGTTCTATTTTCCTCTTTGTTACTTCGAAATCAATTTTAATTAAAATTAAATTGGATAAAGTTTAACATAAACATTGTGATTGCTAAGAACAGTTCTTGTTCCACTTTCTGGTTCGTATCAGATCGCGTCCGGTCTGCACAACGGTGGTTAAGCGAGTGCATGATGAGCTTGTTACGGTGAGATAACACTCATATCACTGCGCCGAGATGCAATGGGTCATAACAAGGGCATGAGAACACGTCACGAGGGATCGCATCCAGGAATCTGATCAACTGTAGCCAAGAAGAGAGGTTGCTCAGTGAAACGTAGATAATGATAGAGGCAAACAGTATATAAAGCGGATCAAAGGCGAACCTATGCTCCAGTTTGATAACAAAAGAACAAAGACGACGAGCAACGAGTTATCATCTTTGGGACGCGGAGAAGAACCTGCGAGCCCTGGAGGACAGCAGCTCTTGGTACGTGGACGCGACCTTCTCCTCTTCTCCTCAGCTCTTCTACCAACTCCTCACCATTCACGCTGAGATGGTAAACTTCAACGAGGACGCTACCTGGGTCTTCCCTTGCATCTACATCCTCCTCACCCACAAGGATACCCCCATCTACAAGAAAGCCTTCGAAGCCCTCGACAGTCTTGGCAACTTCTCTCCAGACAACATCATGGTGGACTACGAGCTAGCTCTCCGGAATGCCTTATCTGCCATCTTCCCTTCCGCACAAGTTGACGGCTGCTACTTTCATCTGTGTCAAGCGGTGATGCGGGCTGTCCAGCGACTTGGCTACAAGGAGCAGTACGAGCGAGTTACGACCTGGAACGCTTACGATCGGACCCACTTCCACATGAACAGAACGAACAACTTCGTGGAGTCCTGGAACAAGAAGTTCTCCACTATCCTTGGACACTCCAACCCCACCATCTACAACTTCATCACAGCACTTCAGATGGAGCAGAGTTCAACAGATGGGAAGCACGCAGCCTACCTGGTCGGAGAGAACCCAACGAAGAGGAAGAAAGCTCACAGCGACAAGGACATGAGGATTCACCGCATCGTGTAGAACTACCACTCTTACGAAGATGATGTCTTGACTTACCTGGATCTGCTCAGAAGTGTTATGCGAATTATTGATTGCTGTAACTTCTTGATAATGATTTGTGGGATTTAGATATTATTGCTATTGAGTGTGACAAGTTATATTAACTTTTTGATTTTCAACAACTCAATATTCTCGATTTACATTGTCTGCAAAGCCCTGAATAAAAAAAATGAACAACTAAACTAACAAGAATTATACAAAATGATAAAGGGAAAAGAAAAAATAAAACTTGTAATGCGAATCTAGAACAAAACTTATAGGTTTCTATGTAGAAACAAGTTAAATGTGTAAGTTCTGTCTTAGGTACAGTTTCTAGTAGTAGTAGTACCGCCGTACTGTCCAAAGTAAAGTGGAGAGGCCGACGACCAGGCCCCCTTATTATTAGGGGTCCCACGGAGATCAGATCATATCACCAATTAGTGACGTATAATTAGTGATGTTGCTGGCAAAATAACTAGTTTATCGAAAACTTTTGATGATTAAGGGGGGGGGCCAATGGGTATTTTTTTGTGAAACTTGATTTCGAGATAGCAGTTGACCAACAAACTAGGACCAGTGACCGAACTTTTGAGGGGGTCCCGGACCCCAACCGCCAAACGGTGCGCGCAGGGCAGCCACGCCCATATTTGGTCCAAATTAGGCCCAATTTAGCCAAATACCCTGTACATGCCCCAAACCCAGGTTTATGGTGCTCTACTTGTAGCTAGTGGTCTCCTGAACTCGTATATGAAATTTCATCAAGATTGGACAAAAAATGACTGAGTTATGAGCCAAAAACCATATGCCCATATTTGGGCATACGCACCAAATTTGGTAGATTTCGTCCCATAAATTGGTCAAATATCAATATTTTTGAATGAAACTTACTTTATATGAAAGGTAAGCCTAAACTACATATTCTCTGTAATTTATAGCTTTATATCTGTTTAAATGTGGATACTAAGGCGAAAAAACCACAAAAAATGAACTAAATTGCCCATATCTCGGTTCGCGATATTCGCGGAATTGATCTCACCAAAATTGTAACAACTCAATCAGTTTTCAAAATTTTTGCATGAAATTTTTGGAATCGACTTGAAATCGCATTTCGACCTTATTTTAAGAACGGATTTTTGATTTAGGCCTCAAAAAAAATTTGGCGGCCAAATTCCAAAATTATATTACAGAAATTCAGAATTTGGCCGCCAAATTTTTTTTGAGGCCTAAATCAAAAATCCGTTCTTAAAATAAGGTCGAAATGCGATTTCGAGTCGATTTCAAAAATTTCATGCAAAAATTTTGAAAACTGATCGAGTTGTTACAATTTTGGTGAGATCAATTCCGCGAATATCGCGAACCGAGATATGGGCAATTTAGTTCATTTTTTGTGGTTTTTTCGCCTTAGTATCCACATTTAAACAGATATAAAGCTATAACTTACAGAGAATATGTAGTTTAGGCTTACCTTTCATATAAAGTAAGTCTCATCCAAAAATATTGATATTTGACCAATTTATGGGACGAAATCTACCAAATTTGGTGCGTATGCCCAAATATGGGCATATGGTTTTTGGCTCATAACTCAGTCATTTTTTGTCCAATCTTGATGAAATTTCATATACGAGTTCAGGAGACCACTAGCTACAAGTAGAGCACCATAAACCTGGGTTTTGGGCATGTTCAGGGTATTTGGCTAAATTGGGCCTAATTTGGACCAAATATGGGCGTGGCTGCCCTGCGCGCACCGTTTGGCGGTTGGGGTCCGGGACCCCCTCAAAAGTTCGGTCACTGGTCCTAGTTTGTTGGTCAACTACTATCTCGAAATCAAGTTTCACAAAAAAATACCCATTGACCCCCCCCCTTAAATTTCATAGTATTCTAATAGAGGTATAGTTCTTCAAAATAGGGGCAAGATATGTTTACTTTGTCACATCAGTTATTATAAGAGTTAGGTAATCGTCATCAGATTAAAAGGTATTTTTCGTAGTTTGGATCGATTACTACTACTATGTCGGAGCTAAGTCCGATCTACGCCAGAAAACCCCCTCCATATATCCCTGTCCCGCATCAGGGTTCGCAGTTCCTCTTTAGAGTTTGTCCCAACTTCCTTCAGTAACATAGACAAGTAGCTTTGTCTTGGTCGGCCTTGCTGTGCTCTACCGTGCGTAGGTTCCCATAAGACTAAATCACTGGCAAGTAGCTCAGGATGTCGGATGCAGTGTCCCGCCATTTTTAATCTCCTGCTTCGTAACTTGTTTGACAGCCTTGGGAGGCTACCATACAAAGTTATATTGCTGACCTTGTCCTTCCATGAGATACCCAGCACCATACGCAACATCTTTGTGTATGTCCCGTCCAAACTTTTCTCTTGAGCCTTTGTCAGTGTCCAGGTTTCTGATCCGTAGAGCAGTACTGATTCACAAGCCGCTATGAACAATCTAATCTTTAGGCTCTTTGAGAGTTTGGATTTCCAGATATCCTTCAGTCTATGTAGGGCACCCCACGCTTTTCCCTTTCTAAACCCTTATCTCCCTATCTGTGCTCTCAATCCAGGAGCCTAAGTAGATGAAATCATCTACATTTTCTATGGCTTCCCCGGATCGACTTTGTAGGTCGCTAGATCGATCCTCCATATTCAGTGTCATGACCTTGGTCTTGCCTTCGTTTATGTGTAGTCCCAAGCTTGCTGCCGCCGATTCTACTCTGAGCAGGAACTCGTTAGCCTTGTCCATGTCCTCAGATATAAGTGCTATATCATCTGCAAAGTCCACATCGGTGATGATCTTGGGCCCCACTCTTCTGCTTTTTCTACGTTCGAGGGTGAGTCCAAGTCGCTCCGCATCATCGCCTATGGCTTGCCTCATACAGTAGTCGATGACTATTGCAAAGAGGTAAGGTGCTAAGGTATCACCCTGTAACACACCTGCAAGTATCTCGAACAATTCAGTTTCTCCGTCTGGAGTTAGGACTTTGGCCATTGTCTTCTCGTACATGAGCCGTATAAGCTGCACGATTTTGACTGGAATGCCGTAAGCTTCTAGAATCTTTAGCATTTTCCCACGATGTACACTGTCGAAAGCCTTCTTAAAGTCTATAAATGTCAGAACAGCTGGCAGTTTCCGACTCTTGACACCCTCTATAAGACGTCTCAGTACCAATATCTGTTGAGTTGTTGACCTTCCTGGTCTGAATCCATTCTGGTTTCTACGCAGAATTGTCTCGATTTCTGGCTTCAACCGGTTTAGAACCATCTTGTTTAGAGACTTGGCAACTAGGGATGACAAGCTTATTCCCCGATAGTTCATTGGTTCGCTAAGGTCGCCCTTCTTTGGAATTGGTATGATGTTGGCAGTTGACCATTGGTCTGGTTTCTCACCTTTCAATAGAGCATTGTTACAGAAGTCTAAGACAATTTGATCAAGGTCGCATCGTTTTAAGACTTCTGGGGCTATGTTGTCGTCACCCCATGCTTTCCCTTCCTTTATGCTGGACTTTGCTTTCCTGTACTCATCCAACGTAAACGGTTCTGTTCCGATATTCAGAGGTGGGTGGACTGGATCAATATCCTCTTCCGCGTTCTCTACCGTCGGTGGTGAGCCGAGAAGAGTAGCAAAATAGTCCTTCCATTTCTGAACCCTTTCCGTTGGTGAGTTTCCCTTGATTTTGCCAGTATATGATGGAGCTTTACCTGTGATCTTGTTGATCATGGTCCAGCTTTTAGCATGTCTGCCCTGCCAACTTGCTTCCTCCAGTTCCCGGACCTGCCCCTCCAGCAGGTGCTCTTTGGCTGCTTGATAAGCATCGCCTAGCTTCTGTTTGCCCTCTTGAACAGCTATTCGGTTGTCTTCTGTAGCATCTGAGTGGTATTTTATGCTACATTCCCTCAGCTTCAGCCTGGCAATCTCAACACTTGGAGTCGCTGAGATTTTACATCTTTTCTTTTTCTCCTTTTCAGGTAGTAAAAGTCGAGAAGTTGTCCTATTCGCATCAATAAAGCATTGGTACCTTTCTGTTGCCGTCTGATCATCCTTTTCAAGTATGGAAAAGCGGTTTTTAACTTCCACTGTGTACCTCTCTTGTAGAGCGATATCAGTTTTAAGTTTAGACCAGTCCAGAACCGGAGCCCTCTTCTCCGTCTTGCTTATCCGTAGACTAAGCTTTACCCTTGCTACGACTACTCTGTGATCCGAGCCAATACTGTGGAAACTACCATATGCTTCGGAGTTCTTGACGGAGTTCCGCCATTTCTTCCGGCAAATGATGAAGTCGATTTGAGATTTACTTTGACTCATATCTGAGAGATATGTCCAGAGTTTACCTCTTCGCTTCTGAAATCTGGTGTTTGTGATTTCTAGCTGTCGCTCCAACAGCATATCCTCTAGCAGTCTACCATTTCGGTTTGCTGGACCCTTGTGGAAGGATGTCCAGTTTCCTGATGATGAGACATGCGCATTGAGGTCTCCTACAACGAATAGTAAGTTGTGGGCTGGTATCTGGTCGATGGCACCACCAAGGCTGTCGTAGTAGTTTTCTGCTTCGTCGACAGTCGCCCCCTCTGTCGGGCTATACCCACTGCGAGCTGATCATTCGCGAGGTGAAAATGAGCGCTGGGGACGATCTCTCTGAAATTTTACCTGTTGGTTCAGTGGACGATTTTAGCCACAGCGCCTTAAATTTAGCACGATCGTCCATAATCACACAAAGTTACAGCTAATTTAGTGATGTAAACACTCGTCGCAATATACTGGAATTGAATCGAGCGCGTTACTATGGTTACTGCGCGTTGATATGGTTACTAGATTTAGATTAGATTCATCGTTTTAGCGCGCGTAGCATGTAGCATTATTACAATTCTATCATATTGTCATATTATTATTAGATGCACGAGTTTAGCTGCATTTTACATTTAATTTCAGGAATCTGCAAGATTTGTAATCGATTAGATAATATTTAATTTCGTTCTTCATTCCTTGCTTGGCGGTCCTCATTTATGTATGTATTTTACC